AAAGACAGCTGGGGTCAGGTGATCCCAGCAAGGTGACTGTCCATTTTTACATCTGTGTGTAATTATTTGAACTGTTAATTTTTTCATAGTCCCATAGTTTAATATACGTAGAATATATAATGCTGATAAATACAATTAGCAAAATTCAGCCTGAACAACCTATTTTCCCCCATAATCAAAAAGCTTGTTTAAAAAAAGAGAAAAGTACTTGCAAAAGTTCGTACCTCCACCTTCCAGTTTGATTTCAGTTTCCTCTATTCCCTCCTCTTTTACTCTCTTCATCTTCCTTGCTCGAAGTTTAGACAGTCTTGATTCCAGAACTGCCTTTCGTTTTTCTTTTACATGTTCTCGTTTTGTTCTTTGTTCTTGAGTCTTAATGACAACAGAAGATATTAATTAATTAATTCTCAGGCTTGATTACAATCAATTGTGCATTTCCCTCAACAGTGCCGAAAGCAAACAGATTATCGGCTACATTATCCTAATAAGGAAAAACCCATCCCAGTCTTTGAATGCAGTCTTGCAAATCCTACCACAGGACCTGTACCACTAATTTCAAATGGTGAAGGTAGCCCAGTGAACTAGTTAACTATAACAAATTGAATGTGTCTGCTTTCAAGGAGCTCTTATCTCTATCACACTTTCCCTATAAAAGTACTTATTTCACATCTTAGTTGAAAAATTCAGAAAGCTAAAAATAGGATTTTTCACTGAGGCTACATCTATCCCCAACTCATGGATGAAAAAAGCCCAAACCAGTTAAGTTCTTTGCTTTAGGATGTAAAATTTCCTTTAATGCATTTACCTATACCTCTTCCACCTACAACTGCTTCCCAAAGTTGATGCAATAAGAGCTTCTTTATATATTTTATGCTTAGAGACTAATACAAAATGTGATCAAGTTCCTTAACTTTCAGAGCCAACTTTCCCTGAGGGTACATTAATCATGACTGCTCGCAAGTGGCAATTTTGAAATCTATGTAAACATTCAGTAGAACAGCTACAGTAAATGAGCATTTTTTTAATGCAAACCTTCAGCCTACCTCCTTTGAAAAAATGTCCCCAAATATTTTGCTGTTTAGTTATCACAAGTCGTGACTGAACAATTCTAAGCCTAAACACATTTACAAAGTTGTACTCAAAACAAGGTTCCACAAGTACAAGTCATTTATTATTTGTATGACTGTAGTACCTAGGAGTCCTGTAGCTGAATCAAAATACAATTATGCTAAGACCAATTTTTGACCCCGTACCTGTTCTCTTAGCATATCCAATGTCTCCATTTGCTTGTTTCTTAGTTCCTTATCACGAGAAAAGGAAAAATAACCAACACCAAGCTGCCTGGCCTCTGAAAGGAAGGAGGAGTTACAACAAGGTTATATTTTACCAGAGTTACAGTCACCACAGCCTACAATTCACCGTGGTATACATTAGTAGGAAGAAGCCTGCTAGGCCATTGTGTTCTCTGTCTTGCTTGTGATTCAGAGCTATTCCTAATAAACAAACATTTTTGTCACACTTCTTCCAGCAATCATACAATGAAGATAAACCATATAAAAGAAATACATGCCATTTTCACGAATATCTTCATAATGTATGGGTCCCATAGGTTTCTTTAGGGCCTCCTCTTCCTCTTTTTCCCACTGCTGCCGCTGAATTTCTCTTCTCATGTCTTCAGAGAGCAGACTTTTCTCATCAGTATTTTGTCTAATAAAGAAAGCAGAATATGGATTACAGAATATAAATGTGGGTTCTGTGGTACTGAACACCAGAAGCATGGGCTATGTAGGGCACTACTGGAAGAAAATGAAGGTAAGTCTCCACAGCATAAATGTAGTGCTGAGCTGACAGCACTGTGGAACTTCTGGCTCATGCCACAGTCTACACAGCACTGGACAAAAATATCAGTTAGTTTGGAACCAGAAGCAATATGACCATATTAGTGCTGCACTATGCAGGCATTAATATGAAGCTGCTATTCTGCTTCCAGTTTTGAAGCTAGAACACGCAGAGCTAGGCACATAGATAAACTTTACAATGATGAATGAAATATAAGAATTAATGCAGTTTAGAATAAGGACTACTATACTCCCCTCTGACACAATATTCTAAAACAAAGAGATCCTTTAAGATGGTACCATTTCCACAGGTTTTGTGAAGTCACTATTAACTCAAAATGCAAGGCGAAGATGAAGCTCAACAGAATATCCACCAAAAGCCACACTTTTCTCGGCATCTGTAGTGAAGCTGATACAAGACTGAGCAGCAACATTTTAGACTTAACATCAGAGAATGAAATAAACTGAAAACAATAATGTACTGGCAGTGAATTTATATCTTGCATAGAAGAGATTAAGAGCTGAGGTGGAAAATACCTTACCTTTTGGTTTTCCTTTGGAGAGAAGAAACAGTTCTTTGTCCCATACCCTAGCTAAAGCAAAGCTTGCTGGCAGATCACCAGCAAACAAAGCATTTCTATTTCTCATTTTATTTTTAAATGATAAATATCATGCTGAAGAATCCTCAAATGAGAGAAACAAGAACTTACACTTCAACTAAAATAAAGCTTTGATCATGGAGACTCTAAATTACTTTCCAATATAATTCTCAGCTCTGCCATTACAGTTTTATCAGAATAGATGTAATGACCTAAACAAACAAATGGCGTTCTAACAAATTCATTTGGAATGTCACCCTGTATTTGGCTTTCTAAAAAACCTTGTGATCACACCACTCGGGCTGGAAAAAATTTGGAGGGATTGTTCAGAGTTCAATAAATTAAATTTCATCACAGAAAGGACCACAGTTGAAAAATAAATCAAGTATCTGTCAGGTCACTAACT